AGCCCTCTACCCAGAACCATCTATACACCCAGAACCATCTATACACCCAGAACCCTCTATACACCAGAACCATCTATATACTATACACCCAGAACCATCTATACACCCAGAACCATCTATACACCCAGAGCCATCTATACACCCAGAACGATCTATACACAGAACCATGTACACCATCGTATCTATATACAGTCTATATATAGACCCAGAACCTGTATTCCTCACCGCTTCCCTATCACATGACCGTGAGGCAGAGCGTCCCGCCACGAGTTGTCCTTCTCCAGCTCTATGTCCATGTCCATCTATAGTATATGACACATTCCTGCTGAATGGGAGACTCTCCAAGGGGCTGATTCTTCTTATCTCAGCAGTCCTGTAGAAGGGGACATTTCAGAAGAGGAATCCGTATGGTGAAGAGACCTCAAAGCTCACATTCCAGAAAGTCAGACGACCAAACACAACCGCCCCACATCCAGAGGACACAGAGGACGATTCTGCAAACCACGACTGTAAATACCGGCTGTGCTGGGCTGCCAGGGAAGGGAAATACGAGGAGAAGACGCAGAGAAGTCACACAACCAACCGCTGACCAAACGTCTGATTATAGATGAAGAAATCTGGAGACACACAAAGGTTTTCCCTATTAAACTCTACCCTGGTGGAAACCATCCATACATCCTAGACAAGGGGTCTCCAAACTGGGACCCGGGGGCCAGAGGTGGCCATTTGCTTACTTTTATCCGGCCCTTGGGGCATTATTTCATTCACCGACACCAATGATAGGGCACAATTCCTCCAATGACACCAACAAATGGGCCCAATGACACCAACGATGGGGCACAATTCCTCCAAATGACACCAACGATGGGCCCAATGACACCAACGATGGGGCACAATTCCCCCCACTGAACACCAACGATGGGGCACAATTCCCCCCACTGACACCAATGAAGCGACACAATTCCTCCAAATGACACCAACAATAGGGCCAAATGACACCAATGATGGGGCAAAAATCCTCCCACTGACACCCACAATGGGGCCCAATGACACTAATGAAGGGGGAAAATTACTCCCAGTCACACCAATAATGGTACACAGTTTCTCCCAATGACACCAACAATGGAGCCCAATGACACCAAAGATGGGGCACAATTCCCCCCACTGACACCAATGATTGGGCAATATTCCTCCCATACCAAAGATGTTGTCAGTGTTTTTTCACATTGACATCAGAACTTTATCAACTCCTAGTGGCCACAGCCTGGCCCCCCTAAATGCTGAAGGACAGTAAACTGGCCCTTTGTTTGGAAAGTTTGGACTCCCCTGTCCTAGAGCATAAAAATATAGATAAATTCATGTGTTAGACATACATAACATGAAGGATGCAATGGTCACAAAGGAAGAGTGGTGGCGCTCTCAGTAACCAAAGTCTCTTGATTGCTTAGGAAGGAAAATGGTTGACCTTCCAGTGGCTAGACATAGCTGTAGAGTGACCAATCCTAGATGTACGAGGTCGTCCAATTCATCCATAGGAGCAGTACAATGATGGATCCTCCAGATCCCTCTCAGGAATCGCTCATCAATGGCTTTATATACTGGACAGACCCAGGAGCGGACTGACCATTTGGAAATTGGGCACTGCCCAAGGGCCCGGGGTCAGTAGGGGGCCCCATAAGATGCCCCTGGTACCTTTTTCATAGGTTTTTTTGAGTTTGGGCAAGGACACAGGGGCCCCATGATCCCCTATTGCCCGGGGGCCCCATGAGTTGTCAGTCCGCCCCTGGACAGACCGAGCAATCCTCAGATAGAGGGATCCCGGGAGAGAGACTCATCAATGGCTTCATATATTGGACAGACCGAGCAATCCTCAGAGAGAGGGATCCCGGAGAGAGAGACTCATCAATGGCTTCATATATTGGACAGACCGAGCAATCCTCAGAGAGAGGGATCCCGGGAGAGAGACTCATTAATGGCTTCATATATTGGACAGACCGAGCAATCCTCAGAGACAGATCCCGGAGAGAGACTCATCAATGGCTTCATATATTGGACAGACCGAGCAATCCTCAGAGAGAGGGATCCCGGGAGAGAGACTCATCAATGGCTTCATATATTGGACAGACCGAGCAATCCTCAGAGAGACGGATCCCGGGAGAGAGACTCATCAATGGCTTCATATATTGGACAGACCGAGCAATCCTCAGAGAGACGGATCCCGGGAGAGAGACTCATTAATGGCTTCATATATTGGACAGACCGAGCAATCCTCAGAGAGAGGGATCCCGGGAGAGACTCATCAATGGCTTCATATATTGGACAGACCGAGCAATCCTCAGAGAGAGGGATCCCGGGAGAGACCCTCATCAATGGCTTCATATATTGGACAGACCGAGCAATCCTCAGAGAGAGGGATCCCGGGAGAGACTCATCAATGGCTTCATATATTGGACAGACCGAGCAATCCTCAGAGACAGATCCCAGGAGAGACCCTCATCAATGGCTTCATATATTGGACAGACCGAGCAATCCTCAGAGAGACGGATCCCGGGAGAGACTCATCAATGGTTTCATATATTGGACAGACCGAGCAATCCTCAGAGAGAGGGATCCCGGGAGAGACCATCCTCAATGGCTTCATATATTGGACAGACCGAGCAATCCTCAGAGAGAGGGATCCCGGGAGAGACTCATCAATGGCTTCATATATTGGATAGACCGAGCAATCCTCAGAGAGACGGATCCCGGGAGAGACTCATCAATGGTTTCATATATTGGATAGACCGAGCAATCCTCAGAGAGACGGATCCCGGGAGAGAGACTCATCAATGGCTCCATATATTGGACAGACCGAGCAATCCTCAGAGAGAGGGATCCCGGGAGAGACTCATCAATGGCTTCATATATTGGATAGACTGAGCAAATCCTCAGAGAGACGGATCCCGGGAGAGACTCATCAATGGTTTCATATATTGGATAGACCGAGCAATCCTCAGAGAGACGGATCCCGGGAGAGACTCATCAATGGCTTCATATATTGGATAGACCGAGAATTCCTCAGAGAGACGGATCCCAGGAGAGACCATCCTCAATGGCTTCATATATTGGATAGACCAAGCAATCCTCAGAGAGAGGGATCCCGGAGAGACTCATCAATGGCTTCATATATTGGATAGACCGAGCAATCCTCAGAGAGACGGATCCCGGGAGAGACCCTCCTCAATGGCTTCATATATTGGATAGACCGAGCAATCCTCAGAGAGAGGGATCCCGGGAGAGACTCATCAATGGCTTCATATATTGGACAGACCGAGCAATCCTCAGAGAGACGGATCCCTGGGGAGACCCTCATCAATGGCTTCATATATTGGTAGACCAAGCAATCCTCAGAGAGAGGGATCCCGGGAGAGACCCTCATCAATGGTCATATATTGGATAGACCGAGCAATCCTCAGAGAGACGGATCCCGGGGAGACCCTCATCAATGGCTTCATATATTGGTCAGACCGAGCAATCCTCAGAGAGACGGAATCCCGGGAGAGAGACGAATCCCTCATCAATGGCTTCATACATTGGGATAGACCGAGCAATCCTCAGAGAGAGGGATCCGGGAGAGAGACTCATCAATGGCTTCATATATTGGACAGACGAAATCCTCAGAGAGACGGATCCCGGGAGAGACTCATCAATGGCTTCATATATTGGTCAGACCGAGCAATCCTCAGAGAGACGGATCCCGGGAGAGACCCTCATCAATGGCTTCATATATTGGTCAGACCGAGCAATCCTCAGAGAGACCTCAGGGAGAGACGAATCCCGGAGAGACCCTCATCAATGGCTTCATATATTGGATAGACCGAGCAATCCTCAGAGAGACGGATCCCGGGAGAGACCCTCATCAATGGCTTCATATATTGGACAGACCGAGCAATCCTCAGAGAGACGGATCCCGGGAGAGACCCTCATCAATGGCTTCATATATTGGATAGACCGAAGCAATCCTCAGAGAGACGGATCCCGGGAGAGACTCATCAATGGCTTCATATATTGGACAGACCGAGCAATCCTCAGAGAGACGGATCCCGGGAGAGAGACTCATCAATGGCTTCATATATTGGATAGACAGAGCAATCTTCAAAAGCAAATATATGGATTCATTTGAGAGGCCCTTAGCTGGCCAAATCTTCCCAGCATGGTGGTTGCATCCATAGACTGGAGCCAGCACGTTGGGGGGATTTAGCCAAAGTGGAAGCAATGTGTAGACCAGGACTTCTCAACCATGGTTCCATGGATCCTCAGGGTTCCTCCAGAGGTTGTAGTGGTTCCTTGGGTAATTTCTGCCTCTCAGATCCATTCCCACTGACCCCAATGATCTTCTTAGCTATCTGTCAGAGCGGAATTCTCCCCAATGACCACAAGTGTAAGGAGCATTCCTCCCACTGACCATCCCACTACTGTATCAGGAGCTGTAGATGGAGGAAAGTTATTTCATGGGGTGAAAAGGTGGAAAAAGGCTGCTGCAAACATTATTTTGCTGAAAATATTCCTGTTTAGTGGGATCTGTCAAAGAGCTCTCCGACATCCAGCATTTCCCTCTCTGCCATGTACAATAATCACCTGCAGTGTGGAGAGATTCTGACTCCATGCAGATTTCCAATGCTCAGGGATTCTGACTCCATGCAGATTTCCAATGCTCAGAGATTCTGACTCCATGCAGATTTCCAATGCTCAGAGATTCTGACTCCATACAGATTTCCAATGCTCAGAGATTCTGACTCCATGCAGATTTCCAATGCTCAGAGATTCTGACTCCATGCAGATTTCCAATGCTCAGAGATTCTGACTCCATGCAGATTTCCAATGCTCAGAGATGTGAATAGAAGCCAATGTTTCATGTTCGTTCCTGACGGATATTGAATGGCAGCCAGTTCATTGTTGTAATCTGCTCTTCTGTGCTGTGATTTTTCCTCATATCTCTTGTACCTTCTCCCCCTCTGCAGGTCAATGCTCCGGCCCTCACCAAAGCATTCTCCCCAGAAACCAAACCCTGGATCAAGCTAGGGGAGGCACTGGGGGTCCTCCTCCGATCCATGGTGCCAGAAGTCAAAGGAGAAGTTCAGGTGACCACATCAGGTGAGTCAAGAGGTGTCCCCTGTCCCCCCATCTGTGCCTCTGTCCCCCCCTGTCCGTGCCTCTGTCCCCCCCCCGTCCATGCCTCTGTCCCCCCCCCGTCCGTGCCTCTGTCCCCCCCTGTCCGTGCCTCTGTCCCCCCGTGTCCGTGCCTCTGTCCCCCCGTGTCCGTGCCTCTGTCCCCCCGTGTCCGTGCCTCTGTCCCCCCGTGTCCGTGCCTCTGTCCCCCCCGTCCGTGCCTCTGTCCCCCCCTGTCCGTGCCTCTGTCCCCCCCCCTGTCCGTGCCTCTGTTCCCCCCTGTCCGTGCCTCTGTCCCCCCTGTCCGTGCCTCTGTTCCCCCCTGTCCGTGCCTCTGCCCCCCCTGTCCGTGCCTCTGTCCCTATTTCTGTGTCCTTGTTTATGTACCTCTGTCCCCATGTCTATGTGTATGCCTCTGTCCCCCCGTCTGTACCTCTGTCCCATGTCTATGTGTATGCCTCTGTTTATCTGTACCTCTGTCCCCATGTCTATGTGTATGCCTCTGTCCCCCCGTCTGTACCTCTGTCCCCATGTCTATGTGTATGCCTCTGTCCCCCCCCGTCTGTACCTCTGTCCCCGTCTGTACCTCTGTCCCCCTGTCTGTACCTCTGTCCCCATGTCTATGCCTCTGTCCCCCTTTCTGTACCTCTGTCCCCCTGTCTGTACCTCTGTCCCATGTCTATGTGTATGCCTCTGTACCTCTGTCCCCCTGTCTGTACCTCTGTCCCATGTCTATGTCTCTGTTCCCCTGTCTGTACCTCTGTCCCCCTGTCTGTACCTCTGTCCCCATGTCTATGCCTCTGTCCCCCTTTCTGTACCTCTGTCCCCCTGTCTGTACCTCTGTCCCATGTCTATGTGCCTCTGTACCTCTGTCCCCGTCTGTACCTCTGTCCCCCCCTGTCTGTACCTCTGTCCCATGTCTATGTCCCCCCTGTCTGTACCTCTGTCCCCCCCCGTCTGTGCCTCTGTCCCCCCCGTGTCCGTGCCTCTGTCCCCCCGTGCCGTGCCTCTGTCCCCCCATCTGTACCTCTGTCCCCCCGTCTGTACCTCTGTCCCCCCGTGTCCGTGCCTCTGTCCCCCCGTCTGTACCTCTGTCCCCATGTCTATGTGTATGCCTCTGTCCCCCCGTCTGTACCTCTGTCCCCATGTCTATGTGTATGCCTCTGTCCCCCGTCTGTACCTCTGTCCCCCTGTCTGTACCTCTGTGTGTCCGTGCCTCTGTCCCCCTGTCTGTACCTCTGTCCCCCTGTCTGTACCTCTGTCCCCCCGTGTCCGTGCCTCTGTCCCCCCGTCTGTAGTACCTCTGTCCCCATGTCTATGTGTATGCCTCTGTCCCCCCGTCTGTACCTCTGTCCCCCTGTCTGTACCTCTGTCCCCCTGTCTGTACCTCTGTCCCCCTGTCTGTACCTCTGTCCCCCTTCTGTACCTCTGTCCCCCTGTCTGTACCTCTGTCCCCTGTCTGTACCTCTGTCCCCCTTTCTGTACCTCTGTCCCCCTGTCTGTACCTCTGTCCCCCTGTCTGTACCTCTGTCCCATGTCTATGTGTATGCCTCTGTACCTCTGTCCCCGTCTGTACCTCTGTCCCCCTGTCTGTACCTCTGTCCCATGTCTATGTCTCTGTTCCCCTGTCTGTACCTCTGTCCCCCCCGTCCGTGCCTCTGTCCCCCCCCGTCCGTGCCTCTGTCCACCCGTGTCCGTGCCTCTGTCCCCCCGTGTCCGTGCCTCTGTCCCCCCGTGTCCGTGCCTCTGTCCCCCCGTCCGTACCTCTGTCCCCCTGTCTGTACCTCTGTCCCCCCGTCTGTCTGTCCCTTTGTCTGCTCGAGGAAAATGAATAGGCCAGGATGGATTGTCCCAAGCAATTCCTTTTTTCCTGAGACATGACACGCCCAGTCACCCCCATCCCCCTTTCCTCAACCCATGATGGATGATGTTACTTGTATATCTGTAACAATGGTTCCTGATATTGGCTGCTCGGTGGGCGGATTGTGTACTCAGCTTTTGTGGGCAGCTCAACTCTTTATGTGGTTTGTCTATCAGCAGAATATTTTAATGTTTTTTTTTTTTTAATGTGAAATTTTATTTTCTTCAATTAGGAGATCCTCTGAAGAGCTCCGGCTCCTTCCTTTGCTCGGCTGTAGCCATCGGTCTTCTCCAAAACTCCGCTAAGAAGGTCAACCTGGTGAATTCCTCTCTGTTTGCCAAGGAAGTTGGAATCCAGGTGAGTTCCCATTTCACACCAAACCACCAAAAATTCCTGCCCAGAAATAAAGTATCCTTTCTTTACCTTTAGTCTGTATCTCCCATGGTGTTGGCCAGCCATGCTCTTAGATGGCCCATTTTGGCCTGTAGGTAAGATCTCTAAGCTGCTCTCTGGATCTCAGAAATTTACAGCTGTCCCTTTTTCCCCTTTTTTGACCAATTCACCATGGGATTGCATCACTACAATACCAGGCTTATGGTCTTCAACATCTGTAGGCTTGCAACTGCTAACCTCTCTCTGAGTTTCCAGGTATATTTGAACAGCAAGAACACGTAACACCAGCACATGCCTGATGAAGGAGCTAAAACAAGTGCCCAAGGAAGTCGAAGTGAAGGAGCTGGTCCACTGTAACCTGGGGAAGGAGCTGATCCACTGTAACCTGGTGAAGGAACTGGTCCACTGTAACCTGGGGAAGGAGCTGGTCCACTGTAACCTGGGGAAGGAGCTGGTCCACTGTAACCTGGTGAAGGAGCTGATCCACTGTAACCTGGTGAAGGAGCTGATCCACTGTAACCTGGGGAAGGAGCTGGGGAAGGAGCTCCACTGAAACCTGGGGAAGGAGCTGGTCCACTGTAACCTGGGGAAGGAGCTGATCCACTGTAACCTGGGGAAGGAGCTGATCCACTGTAACCTGGTGAAGGAGCTGGTCCACTGTAACCTGGGGAAGGAGCTGGTCCACTGTAACCTGGGGAAGGAGCTGGTCCACTGTAACCTGGGGAAGGAGCTGGTCCACTGTAACCTGGTGAAGGAGCTGGTCCACTGTAACCTGGGGAAGGAGCTGGTCCACTGTAACCTGGTGGTGAAGGAGCTGGTCCACTGTAACCTGGTGAAGGAGCTGGTCCACTGTAACCTGGGGAAGGAGCTGGTCCACTGTAACCTGGTGAAGGAGCTGGTCCACTGTAACCTGGTGAAGGAGCTGATCCACTGTAACCTGGTGAAGGAGCTGATCCACTGTAACCTGGGGAAGGAGCTGATCCACTGTAACCTGGGGAAGGAGCTGATCCACTGTAACCTGGGGAAGGAGCTGATCCACTGTAACCTGGGGAAGGAGCTGGTCCACTGTAACCTGGGGAAGGAGCTGGTCCACTGTAACCTGGGGAAGGAGCTGGTCCACTGAAACCTGGGGAAGGAGCTGATCCACTGTAACCTGGTGAAGGAGCTGATCCACTGTAACCTGGGGAAGGAGCTGATCCACTGTAACCTGGTGAAGGAGCTGATCCACTGTAACCTGGTGAAGGAGCTGATCCACTGTAACCTGGGGAAGGAGCTGATCCACTGAAACCTGATGAAGTAGCTGGTCTACTGTTGCCCGAAGGACAGTGTCCACCTGGGGATCAGACAAGTCCTGTCTGGAAAGCTGAAAGGCTCATTTATTCTGAGCTTTCAAGATGGATTTCTTAAGTGCTTTTATTTGGTACACACACTTTTGGAGTGGAATTCCCCTGGAGTCCGGAGAGTAGCAGTGGAGGATCAGCTGACGTGCTGACGTATGCTGGATGATCCCCGTGGTTACCCTAGGATGAATGATGACCAGGAGTGGTCTGAGTTACTCAGAGGCACAACTTATTGCGGTATCTGGTTAGTGCAATATATTGTCATTTCCACACTCACTTGGAGCACGAATTGTACCAATCTGATCTTTGAACTTTATCACCACCTACGCACCATAAATCAGACGCAATGCATACACTCACTGGGGCGCTATCCAGCGCATTCTATTATTATTTCTTATTGGGACTTTATACAGCCTGGTTGCCTTAATATGCGAGCAGTTGATGTTTGCACATGTACGTTTACATAAACGCATTTACTTTTATATTTTATATAATTTATGTATTATATTAGAGCGCTGCATTGTCTATTTATTTTACTGTTGAACCACAAAGGAGCTTTTCTGCTGTTGCCTGATGGAGCTTCCTCATTGTTGCTTAATAAAGGAGCTGGTCTACTGTTGTCTGATGAAGGAGCTGGTCCACTGTGGCCCAACAAACGTACTGGTCGGCTGTGGCCTGTTGAAGGAGCTGGTCCACTGTTATCGGGGGAAGGAGCTTGTCCACTGTAGCCTCAACGAAGGAGCCGGTTTCAACGAAGGAGCCGGTTCTCCGTAGCCCGACAAAGGAGCTGGTTCTCCGTTCAGCCCGACGAAGGGGCCGGTTCAAGGGGCCGGTTCGTAGCCCGACGAAGGGGCCGGTTCACCGTAGCCCGACCGTTCACCGTAGCCCGACGAAGGGCCCGGTTCACCGTAGCCCGACGAAGGGGCCGGTTCACCGTAGTTTTAGCCCGACGAAGGGGCCGGTTCTCCGACGATAGCCCGTAGCCCGAATGGAGCCGGTTCACCGTAGTAGCCCGACGAAGGAGCCGACGATTCACCGTAGCCCGAAGATGGAGCCGGAAGGAGCCGGTTCTCCTTAGCCCGACGAAGGAGCTGGTCCCATTGTTGCCTAACAAAGGAGCTTGTCTATTGGTGCCTGATGAAGGAGCTTGTCTACCGACTCCTGCCGGAGAAGCTCGTTTACTAGCCTGACGAAGGAGCTTGTACACTAGTAAGATTGAGGATATGCTTTAAGATCAGAAATATTGCAACAGTTTTGGTTTATGAGCTCCACAGGATGGAAAGAATAAAACAACGTGTAAACCCTAATGGTGATCTTCTCGTATTTCCTCTCTTTGGTCTTTTACATATACCATTCAAAGCATTTTTCGTATCTGAAAAGTGCCAAAAACACACCCCTTGATCCTGCAAATATCCCTTCGGTTCTAACTTCCTGTGTTCTCTGGAGTAAATAAATCCTACCCTTGAGCAGGGAATTGAAGACAGATCTTTGTAGGCCATGACCCCTATCAGTTGGCCTTCCAAAGACCAACATATTAGGTCGTAGACGTGAGAGTTGTGGTAAACAGAAGTGTTTTACATTTTGGCACCACTTTGGTTTTTCACGGAATAAACCAGACCTGTATATAAAGTGTGTATATTACTCTTGTCTTCGCAGTCTTCCCTGCCAAAGCCCACCTATACCCTTACAGTGTTGTGTTCCTGCCTTCTGAACTTCACACCAGCTGAGTTGACCCGCTCTGTCCAGTCACTGATTGGCTGACATGTTTACTTCTTTGTCCCTAGGTGGCAGCCCGCCATTCCATGGACTCAGCAGAGACTAGGCTGGAGGTGTCTGCAGGGGATATACGTCTAGTTGGTGGTCTGAGTGGCACCCTGCCATGCCTGCTTCAGATTGCATCTTCACGTTTCCGGAGCCCGGTGTCACTGAGCGGAACCCTACTTCTGTGGACCAGTGAGGCCTCTGTCAGCAGTCTACTAGGTAAGTAACTATTCCATTACCATCATCCACTCAACTCAACCTAGAAAGAATTGTTGAATCCCCAGGGCATGTAGCATGTGGTCCTGTTGATATCTATGACTGCGTTGTGCAATAAAATCACATCTTTATATCTGTTTGTGTTGGCTATCAGTTGTACCCCTGGCTGAAGCCCAATTTATGGGTGTTCCTATGAAGGGGGCTACAGCACAACACCGGAGCCAATGACACCTCTCCTCATTCTACTAACTTTCTCCATATGTTGTGATCTGAGCTGACACCTCCCTCTGCTTTGGTGAATGACAGCACTTGGCTCTAGCATGTTCCTGCTGCCAGCAACCAGTGCTGTCATTAGGTATTCGTATCCCACTGAAGAGTACTTGAACAGCGGTAGGGAGGGGACGCATGCTATTGACCATGCTGTATCAGGGACCACATACAACCTGCCATTGGTTCACTGGAGGACTTGACAATGATTTGTAAGTTGAGGTGATGCTTCTTCTTTAGGGTGCCCAGAGGCTCAGCATAAATAGCTCTTAGTCATGTGAATACTGATGATGCATTGAGTAGACCCAACAACACCCAATCATTGCTGTGCACAGTTCATGTTAAGGGTTCTTCTTTTTATAACACAATAACAATAAAAAGAAATGGAGAACAACAACATACCATATGAGCAGGGGCGGATTGACAACTCATGGGGCCCCCGGGCAATAGGGGATCATGGGGCTCTGGTCTCCTTGCCCACACTCAAAGCACACCCAAAAAAGCCTATAAAAAGGTAACAGGGGCATTTCACAGGGCCCCCTGCTGACCCCGGGCCCTCGGGCAGTTCCCGAGTGCTCGAATGGTCAGTCCGCCCCTGCATATGAGACAGAAACAGTGGACATGTACTGTATATGGACCTTTTGCTACACAAGGACATCTAAATTCTGCATGGAAGGAAAGGGACATAATAGGAACAAGACAATAAAACAATACAAGTATCTTCATGTCCTTTGCTGTTGTCCTGACTTTTCTTCTTTGTCTTGGGCAGAGCTCCCTCTCCTCCACAGGACATCATCTAGAATCATTCCACACTGCCGGAAGGTACAGCATAGCAGCCATCTCCAGGCCCCTCTCCGATCTGTCGCCCCATGGGATCCTGTCTGCAAGTCACCTTCTGATCACCAGATCTCTGACCATTCGAAGTGCTATATTCTTCTTAGTAGTCAGTAAAGTATTGCTGGTACTTGCTGTGTCTCGTCTTTTTTGTATCCAGCTGTAGAATGTATGACTTCTGTAAGGTGGAAAAATGTGCATTGACTGCTTCAGGGGGTCTACATTAAATGGCTTCTAAACCATGCAAGCCAAATGTCTTGGATTGCCATTAAAATCCTGGATCTTGTCACATGTGATGTTGTGACCTTGCATTCAGCATCACCTTGCATTCTGGGGTTCTTTTCTGCTGAACCTCTGGGTGGCTCTTTGGTGTAGACCTGCATTCTTTGGGCATAATTCGATATGGCATCACGAGCTGTCCAATCTCAATCTCGTATATTCCATGCTTAGCAGGCATCTACTGCCTGAAGGTACAGCATCCTCTGGATGGTTTCATTTGTCCTTCTGTGATATGAGGTCCAATATTGTATGTTAAAGGTAGGATCTACACTCAGATATCCTCCATATTCCTACTTACTGACAAAAAGGAATGCTGCTAGTTATCAAGTACCCCATTATCAGAGGTCCATACGGACTAAAATTGTTCCTTCCCTGTGATGTGAGGTCCACTATTAGGATCTCTGCTCGTGTATCCTCCACATTCCTGATTGCTGCCAATTGGTCTCTCGTCTCTCATGTTGGTTATCAAGTAGACCATTTAAAGGACCCATATGGACATTAAAGTCATTCCTTTTCTGTGGTCTGAGGGCCACTACTGTACATTGCAGGTATGTTCTACACCCATACATCTTTCCATTTTCCTGATTGCTGCCAACAAGTCTCCCATCTCATGATGGTTATGGAGTACCCCATTAAGGAGGTCCATATGGACATTACATTTGTTACTCCTCTGTGATGTGAGTTCCACCATTGTACGTTGGAGGTAGGATCACTACCCATGTAACCTCCACATTCCTGATTTTTGGCACCTGATCTTTTGTCTCTCACGTTTGGTTAGGTAGTACCTATTTAAGAGGTTTTTTCATATGGACTCATAGGGGTTTATTTAATCTAAAGCTGGAGAGTCCAAAATCAGACTCCCTTAACTGCATAGAAACCAATCAGCTTCTAACCTCAGCTTGTTCAATGAAGCTTTGGCAATGAAACCTGGAAGCTGATTGGTTTCTATGCAGAAGGGAGTCTGATTTTGGACTCTCCAGCTATTAGTAAATAAACCCCATAAGGTCCACTATTATACAACGGCTCAAAAAAATGAAAGGAAGACTTTGTAATCAGAGTCCTAGCATCAAGTCAAATGAACCTCCTGTGGATATGGATCTAGTCAGGTTTAGTCGCAGAGGGATGGTTGATAATCAGTTTCAGCTGCTTTGGAGTCTTCCTGAAAATCACCAACAGGTGACTAGAAAGATGCGCAACAATGCATGACACCCAATAACAAGGAATTGTTTTACAGGTGGGGGAAGACACTGACATTTTTTCCCTACACCTCAACTCTTTTCTGATTGTTTTTCACTCGTTTTGCATTTGGCTCCTTCGGGTCAGTGTACACTACTGGTAGGGCCATGAGGCCAATACCTGGACCCTACTGAAGGTAGCACAGGCAGGTCCCAACTCCTCCAGAATGGCACAATCAATAACGTACCATTGCCAGAAAGGTTTTGCTGTGTTCTCCCATAAGTCAGGCTCAAAAAAAATGTTTTAAGCAACAGACAGCATGGGAATTCCATGGAAAGACAGAAGTTGTCAAACAAATCTGATTTCTTTTTATGAGGAGGTGAAGCAAAACCTTGGACAGAGGGTTGGTGTGGACGTGGCTCCATGTATAATACATAAAGGGGATATGATCTCCATGTATAATACATAAAGGGGGGATATGATCTCCATGTATAATACATAAGGGGGATATTGATCTCCATGTATAATACATAAAGGGGGGATATGATCTCCATTGTATAATACATAAGGGGAGATATGATGTCTCCATGTATAAAACTTAAGGGGGGATATGATCTCCATGTATAATACAGAAGGTGGGGGATATGATCTCCTTGTAATTAATACATAGGGGTGGATATGATCTCCATGTATAATACATAAAGGGGAGATATGATCTCCATGTAATAATACATAGAGGGTGGGATACTGATCTCCCATGTATAATACATTAGGGGGGGGATATGATCTTCCCATGTATAATACATAAGGAGGGGATTGATCTCCATGTATATATAATGACATAAGGGGGGATATGATCTCCAAGTTATAATACATAAGGGGGGGATGACTGATCTGTCTCCATGGTATAATTAACATAAGGGGGAGATATGAATCTCCATGTAATAATACATAAGGGGGGTATGATCTCCATGTATAATACATAAGGGGGGTTATGATCTCCATGTATAATACATAAGGGGGGATATGATCTCCCATGTATAAAGACATAAGGGGGTGATATGATCTCCATGTATAAATACAATAAGGGAGGGGGGGATTGATCTCCATGTATAATACATAAGGGGGGATATGATCTCTATGTATATTACATAAGGGGGGATAAGATCTCCAATGTATAATACATAAGGGGGGATATGTATCATTCCAACGTAATAATACATAATGGGGGGGGATATGAAATCTCCATGTTATAAATACATAAGGGGGGGAATATGATCTCCATGTATAATACATAAGGGGGGATATGATCTCCATGTATAATACATAAGGGGGGATCACCGTGTATCACCATGTATAATAATACATATAAGGGGGGGTAATGATCTCCATGTATAATACATGTAAAAGGGGGGGATATGATCTCCATGTATAATACATAATGGGGGTATAACTCCATGTATAATACCATAAGGGGGGGGATATGATTCTGCCATGTAATAACAACATAAGGTGGGGGATCTCCATGTAAAATATGATATGATCTCCAATGTATAATACATAAGGGGATATAATACATAAGGGGGGTAAATGATCTCCATGTATAATACATAAGGGGGATATGATCTCCATGTATAATACATAAGGGGGGATATGAATCTCCATGTATAAGGGGGGATAAGATACATAAGGGGGGGATATGATCTCCATGTAAAATACATAAGAGGGGGATATGATCTCCACCATGTATGTAATACATAAGGGGGAAATGAATCACCATAGTATAATACATCCACCAATGGGGGATATAATACATAAGGGGGGGGATATGAACTCCATGTATAATACATAAGGGGATATGAATCACCATAAGGGGGGGATATGAATCTCCCATTTAAAGATCTCCATAAGTATAATACAAAAGAGGGATATGATTCCAAAAGGTGAGGGATATGTATAATACATACCATGTAAATACATAAGGGGGGATATGATCTCCATGTACTAATAAATACATAAGGGGGGATCTCCATTATAATACATAAGGGGGATAGTGATCTCCATGTATAATACATAACGGGGGGGATATGATCTCCATGTATAATACAAAGGGGGGAGGATCATGATCCCCGAAGTAATACTTACATAATGGTGGGATATGATCCTCCCATGGAATAAATACATAAGGGAGATATGAATCTCCATGTATAAATACATAAGGGGGGACTAAGATCTCCATGTATAATACATAATGGGGGATATGATCTCCATGTATACATACATAAGGGGGGGATAAAGGAATCTCCAAGTGATAATACATAAGGGGGGATATGATCAAGCCATTCAGGAATGTGGGGGATACATGGGTAGCAGATCCTTTCCTCTAATGTACAATAATGAGGACCTCACCATCATAAGCAGAAACAACTTTAAAAAAGAGAAATCAAACTGACCGGCCACCTAAATGCGAAGGATTAGGAATAATTTCAGAAAGAAGATCTTCTATTCCTCAATGAAATAAAAGTTGGATGTAATCTGAGAGTGTGAGGAGAAATATCAATAAACGAGGTGGTATTCAAAAAGTTTCAAAACATTGTTTAGAAACACAGCCAACATACGCAGGCACAGGGAGCAACCGACGTTCATAAGTCCAGTTTGGCCAAAAGACAAGAATAACGTCCTGTGTACATTGGGATCTGTGGAACTTGGTGCTATTCTAACCAAGTGCGTTACCGAACGTCTGCTATGTCATCATGGACAGAAGTTAGAACAAAGAGAGAAAACATGAAATTCTGCATGAAACCGGGAAAATCTGTTACAGAGACGTTTGACATGATTCGGCAAGTTTACGCCTGACTCGCTGCAACAAATCGTTTGAGGTGTTTAGAGTGCCACGCACTAGCTTCGAGAGCAGAAGAACATCACTGGAAGCCGATGAGGGATCAGGAAGACCTTTAAACGAGCTTAACCCCTGAAAAAATGGTGAAATGGGGAAACCATTTGGCAACTTGTGCATGATGATCGTCTGAGAACAATCCACAACACTGCTGCCATTTTGGTGTCTCATAACAGTCTAGGGCCAAGGGTCTCCAAAAACTATGGCCCCTCCAGGTGCTGAGGAACTGCAAGTCCCATGAGGCCTTGCAAAGACTGACAACCACAGACAAGACTCCCAGAGGCAAAGGCATGATGAGACTTGTAGTACTTCAACAGCTGGAGGGCCATAGTTTGGAGATCCCTGGACTCACTTTCCAGAAGTGGTGGGAACACTGGGAACGCTGTGTTGCTGTGAAAGGGGACTATTTTGAAGGTGATGGTGTGTAAACGTAGATAAAGTACTTTCTTGTACACAGAGCGAGTCTCCAAACGTTTTGATACCACTTCCTATCTGAACAGATCAAGATGATGATGTGAGAGGTCCCAGCTGATAATTCCACTCATTGTTCACAGAGTTCCTTGGAAGAGTTCTCCCTTAACATCACCTCCTGCAATCACTGTAGTATGCAAAGTGTTGGAGGAACAAAGAGGAAGTTCAGCCGTTCATCGAGTTGAGTAAAGACTGAGCAAGGTTTGGACACAGAAGTGTTTCATGACTTCCACCCCAGTGAAT